TACCTCCGCTGCAGCTACCCGTGAAGTGAGTATACTCAATATTTTTTGAAAACTATAAAAAAAATTAATTAAACATAATTCTAGGGAAATTACCATACTCGGTCTCACACTGATCGCATTCGGTACTGGTGGCATTAAGCCGTGCGTCTCGGCATTCGGTGGCGATCAATTCCGCATGCCTGAGCAAGCCAAACAGCTGGCCACATTCTTTTCGCTTTTCTACTTCGCCATTAATGCCGGTTCCACTATCTCGACCACCATCACACCCATTCTTCGTGAGGATGTGCATTGCTTCGGCGATAAGAATTGCTTTTCACTCGCTTTCGGCGTACCGGCCATACTCATGTTGCTCTCGGTGGTCATTTTCGTTGCGGGCCGCAAGCTCTACGTGGTTAAGCCAACAGCTGGCAACATGATATTCGGTGTGTCGAAGTGTATTTCCGATGCTATTGGTGGTTGGCGGCGCGAGCGTAAGACGAATCCTCGCAAACACTGGTTGGACTATGCCGAGGCAAAATCCGGTCAAAAGATGGTCGCTGATACCAAAGTATTATTGAAGATTTTAACGTTGTTTTTGCCCTTCCCCGTCTTTTGGGCACTCTTTGATCAGCAAGGCTCACGTTGGACCTTCCAGGCCACACGCATGGATGGCGAATTTTTTGGTTATGTGATTAAACCCGATCAAATGCAGGTCGTCAATCCGTTACTAATACTTGGCATGATTCCATTATTCACCTACGTGCTCTATCCGCTTTTGGCTAAGATTGGCATTAAGCGACCATTGCAAAAGCTCACGCTTGGTGGTTTACTGGCCGCTATTGCCTTCCTGCTCTCCGCTTTTCTTGAAATTAAACTGAACGAAGTTGATCCGGCACCGCTGTCTGAGCTCAGTGCCAACGTACGCATCTACAATGGCATGCCGTGCGCTTACCGCTTCACCACGGAGTTGCCAAATCATCCCAGTGCCGTGGAGCCATTGGACTTGTGGGAGAATAAAGCTTTGTCTGTGCCGAAAGCAGTCGTATATCCATTCAACGCCACCTCGGCAGACAAACGTTGCAAAGACCTATCCGGCACTTTCCGCCTGACTCCTGGCAAGGAGACGAGCTACTTTATTTACTCTGACGGTGTACAGGAATTCATGGACTCCACTGGCAAAACGAAGCTGGGCAATCCGCTGGTGCGCGTACTTTTGAATGTGCCTAACGAGGACAGTGCATTTACTTTTACCGATGCCGTGGAGACGGCAGTGCCCATTATTTTGCGCAATGCTTCGCAAGTAGTTAATGTTGTGCATGGTGAGAGCAAACTGCAGATAGCGAATAAGAAGATTGCCACCATCGACACAAAGGGTGGCGGCGTTTACGCCCTGCTGGTTCAAGGCAGTCTCAAAGATGGTTTCGTAAGTATATGCGCGTCTCATTATTATCATTGATCAGCAATGATTTTATTCATTCTCTCTTTCTATCTCTTGAAATGTGTGCAGACAACTAAGACTCATGTCATAACACCACCTAACAGCATGCATATGATGTGGCAATTGCCACAGATTGTTGTCATCACAGCTGCTGAGATCATGTTCTCTGTCACGGGTTTGGAGTTCTCTTACACCCAAGCGCCACCGAGCATGACATCCGTTCTGCAAGCTTGCTGGTTGCTCTCCGTCTCCATTGGCAATATGTTAGTGGTGGTTATAGCCGAACTGAAATTTTTCGAATCGCAGGTTCGTGTCCTAAGTCTTTTGTTTACACCACTTCGCTGTGTTTGAAAACAACTAATCAAGTTTTTGTTTCCACTCCTTAGGCCGCTGAATTCGCGCTCTTCGCCGGTCTCATGATTGTCGATATGTTCATTTTTATTTTACTCACCATTCCATACAAATATGCGGAGCACGGCGAGGACCCTGAGGCCAACCAAGTTGTGGTTACGCCCAACAACCCAAAGCAAAGGGAAGCTGAGCGCGAAACTTACACCGGCAACAGAGGAAATGGTCATATGAATGAGGCTTATGAGGGAGAGCGCTAAACTAAGAGACTGCTGTGTTAACACCATAATTATACGACATTTTAATTTAATCATTATCTTTAATTCGGCAACTTAAAGCTACGATATGAAAATATCCGAAACTTATTGCCAAAGAAAGCAGCAGTAGAAACGCTGTGAAGTACTTAAATAGGTTGTGGTTCATTTAGTTCACTCCACATTGAACTTTTTACACTTGTATAAATTTGTATTATTTTAGTGCATTTTACTACCGTTAAGGTTGCCATGTTCTTCGTATGTGAATAACGAAACTCTTGTTATCTTTTATGGTATTTTACAATTTATTTACTCGAATTTTTAAGCAATCACTTATAAAATAAGTTTATCTTATCTTAGAATATTGTCGCGTCGCCATGTGCCGCATCTTCGTTTGTGTAGATATGTAAATAATTAATTTCATAATTTTAAGAGCTCCACAAATAATTTTTTAGTGCTGCATGTTATAGTTCAGGCAGCAAAATTCTGTTTTATTTTAATAATTTATTTGTAGAGAAAATATACGTAAACAAAGTTTATCTTAGAGAAGTTTTTTTCTTAGCAATTATTTGCAGAAGATAATATGGGGGAGTTGGTGGATGTGACAGAAAAATTTACAATTAACCGGGGTATTAAAGGTTGACTAAATTGTGAAGTGATGGCCGGCACAGAGTATCGGTAATACTGCTAAAAAGTAATACGCTATCGCTATATTCCGGTATCAAAGTCAGGATGGGCGAAAGATGTTTAAACCAAGTTTTTAAATCAGCTAAGCCTCAGTAATTAAACGCACCCCTCTACTCAGTACAAACTGGAGCACCCTATTGCAACACACCACACCTGAGCACAGCACACACTCAGCAAGCTGCCACCATACGTCGACAGCACGCACCACCAAACAACAGAAAAGATAGTCTTTTTTTCTGCGGAATTCGTTACAATGGAATCATCGCAGCACCCTATCATTTCGTCCGACATCGATTTCGCACGGCTGTTTGTTTTAAAATAATTATTACATTGAGTGAAATAAAAATTTGTAATAAAAATAAGATATCACTTATTTCCTATCCGCTTTATAACAACAAACGCGAGTGTAAGTGACTCAGTGATGTATTTTGGTGTACCATAGGTTTCCTACTAAATTGGGCACCCAATTACACACCAAAAACATTTTTGAAGCTCCTTAAACTATTATATTGATATAGATTTGTATTTGATTATATAAATTAGCTTTTCTTATTTTACTGATAACCCCAACTGTAGCTGTATGTGATTGTACATATGTATTGATTATGGTATGTACATACGTTTGTGCAGATGGTTGTGCATACACATATTTATTTTGGTTTAATGGATTTCTTTGCCGTTTTCGAACATTGAGAACGTTGCATATTTCTAGGCGGGTTGAAAAAGCTCTATTTTTAAGTTGTTCCAAATACTGACACCAAGCCGAGAGAAAGTAATTTAATTAAAAAAATATTTTTATGGTTTTCCCTGTTTTAGATTAAAAGATTTGGAATTATGTTGTAGTGAAATAATCATATAATATAATTATTTAAACAAAATTACAATTATTTTTCTAAATTTACTCTATTGAAGCCACATTTCTGTTAAGATTTCGAATATCTCTCATAAACAGATTAATCGAGAATAAAAAGTGTGATGAATCGTGTTTGTGGAAAGAAGGCTCACGGCACTCCACCATATACATTCAAAGCTTTGACACTGGCTCTAAATTCACCGTTACCACTTAAAGTTTAATAAAACATTCATTAATAAAGCCCAAGAGCCGTCTCATCCACCAGAGCCCCATAGCCTACATTACATTTCAAAATAAAAAAATCGTTAGAGCGCGACTAATTAACCTAATTATGTCATCAGCATACGGTAGGCGAATATCTATAGGATTTAAAACCTCGCAAGTCCAACTGTAACAAAAACCATATATCTGCATGGCAAGTAAAGTCTTTAAATAAGTATGTACAAAATGTAAATGTGAAATATTTATTGGCAACATCTAAAAACCGCCGCATGTTTTGAAGTTTGCGTATAGTAAATTCGAAAATTATAAAATATTCAAAAGACAGCTTTGGCAGACACCTCCGACTCTGGAAGAAATCTCCATGAATTTGGGCTCGAATTTGTTACACAGCCACCGATTTAAGCACCCAAAAATAAGGAAAAGTAATGTCGTTGAAAAGAAGTCGCCGAAACTGTGACCTATTTGGAAGATCGTACTACAAAAGTAATATCGAGAAGTAGAAGGATGACTAAAATATCTATCGTCCCAAAGACACCTAAATTGATAATATAAAACTGCTCTCAAAAATTTTATTTTTTTGGCTGTCTGTTACAATTAATTAATTTAGTAAACTTTCTTATCACTAATTGCTAACTTATTTTGGAACTTCTTCCACAATAACAGAGCCATAAGTGAAGCAATAATTGCGCATGTAATCAGCTTACTTTTAACACATACAAGTACATACATTTTTTTTTTGTGGCGGTTGGATTGTTCACCAAATGTTTTTCTACTAAACACCTGGTTTCTTGCTTGATAAGCAGCTGGTCTTTAGATGGCATATTAGTTTGTTTGTATAACAGCATACGAACTTCTTATGAATATACAAATATGTATATACATACAATATATACAAGTATATACGTGTAGCCATAAAATGAGTCGCAAGACGTTAAAACACCTGCAAACTGGAACAATTAATTATCGGAATTCCTTCTGTATCAATGGCCAAATTAAATAAGTGTTCATATAAAAAAAAAGGAAAAAAGGATTTAAGGTGAAATACATATTTACCAATAATATAATATCGTAATTTATTGAATTAATATATTATACTTTTCTCATATGAAATGAAAATCGGCTAGTAATTCTTATCTTTAATCTGCAATCGGCATTGGATTAGGTATTTTTATATGCTAATATTATCACACATCGGTTGATTAGTCACAATCAAAAACTCAGTTGCAGGTGTTAAGACGGCAATTAGTAAAATCTTATCGTCCACTAGAGGCAATGAAAATTCAATGTGCCTGATAATACCTTAAAAGTATTAATGTTGTAACTGTGTTAATCGAATCAGTCTGCATCTGGAGGGGCATTAAGCCAGTCGTGTTCTTTCGATAAATTTGGGAATGTGTTGCGGATATAATTAAGCATAAATTTCGGTTGCGCGGAGGATAATCGCAGATTATCGCGAAATCCTGCTTTCTTCAATACGCCAAACATAAAATTATTTAAATAACAGCAAAATGAGAAGTATGTTGTTAACATAGCCGCCTGCAAGTGCTTTAGTATTAGTGAAGGGCAATAAATAATTTGCTGAAAAAATTGTGAACTATTTGTGTTAACTCACTGAAATATGTGATCCTTGCAATCAACACCAAATATTTAAATAGATAGATATTATATGTCTAACAGAAACTATTTAGCTCTATATCTTTATCAGAAAAACATTAAATTTTAAATATGGAAATGACATCAACATTTTTTGAACTTTAGAAAACATCAAAACATCAGTTATATAGAAAATCCCAAAAATTTGTGATACTATAATAACCTACTAATCTAGGTATAACTAAATCTGAAAACGTAACCGGTCTACAGTCACTCTGAATGGCAGTTATATGCTAATACTTGTATAGTCCAATCTGAACAATATATTTTAACGTTACTTTGGATAACAATCCGTGCCGAATATCGTGCAGATATCTCGTCAATTAGAAAGATTTTCATACAAGAACTTTATTTCGATTGATGAGCTTGTAAAGCAACTATATGCTGCTGTGGTTCAATATCGGCGGGACTAGTCGCGTATAGACCAACGGACAAACAGACGGACGAGGCTAAATCGACGCAGCTCGTCACAATGTTCATTTGTATATACATTTTATAGGGTCTACAACGTTTGCTTCTGAGTGTTACAAACCACACGGCATGCTTAATAGGGTATATTCGGGTTTTAAAAATAAGCTATGTTCACATAGCACCCGAAACTACTTGATTTCAAATTTTAATCAAGCATCCTTCTTTCAAAAGTTCTATTATCCTTTAAAAATCCTTAATTCATTTTACATACCTATTTTGATGTAAGTATGTCGGTAAAAATTATGTCAGAGTTTAAACACAGTTCGTAGTAATCCGAAAGGAATCCCAGAATGTTGGTAATTTAGATTTCGGGAATTTAGTTTCAAAAACTGAGAAATTGATGCCTTAATAATTACACTACTCAACAAATCTGAACTAAAAATTTACGACTGATGTGCTGGGAGGTCTGTGGAGGTATTTGAGGTGTCCTGGTTACGATTTTGAGTACAAACAATTTAAATCACGTACAGCTATTTATGTAATTTTAGTAAATGGTGGTGGTTTGACCCCTATACTCCTTGACTGCAACACATAAATCCTACGTGTTAGGAAATCTTTACCAACATTTTCGGTTTAGGCAAGACAAAATTAGCAAGAAAGAGCCTCTAACATCACAGGCGCAAAATGACTGTAAACTAGTGTAATACACCAATATCAGCTATGCGTAATTATGTGTGCACTATAATTTTAATGATCATGATAAATTGAATAGGAGCAAAAGATAAGACCAAATTGAGGTAGCTAACTCAAAATACTCTATGCTTATCGTTATCGAAAACCACATACGGATGTGCTATAATTTTGTTTGTGGCTGAATATGGTACTTACGGAAACATTATTGCAATTTTACAGCCAATACTGTGATAATTACGACAATTTGTCTGCTAATTGCTGCCACTAGCCAATTGCGAGTTTGCTTGGCGGCGGAAGAAAAAGAATCCCATTGCATTTGGTATGGCCAGAGCCATATGGTTGGTGTTCATTGGTTGAACAAAGCAGCGAATATTGAGCCACAACCCGTGAATGATGAGAGCGCTGAAGCTGTCTTTAAACAACGTTGCTCGCTATGGTATGCTGAGTATAAAGCGGCCGATCCAGAAGGTAAACCTCAGTTTACACATAACGGTCGTAACAGTTTAGTTAATGAATTTCCTTACGTTTAGGGCCACTCAAGCTGTGCTGTGATGCTGCTCAAATTCAAACGATGGGATCGAGTATGGCTCAAGCCGACGGCATATTTGCGCGCTGTCCCGTTTGTGTTTACAACATGGCTATTTCGATTTGCGGCATGACCTGCGCGCAGAATCAGAGTCTCTTCATGGAGGCCCACAATGACACGTACGAGAATCAACAATTTGTCGCAGAAGTCGATTTCAGAATTGACGACGATTCGGTGAAAGCCGTCTACGACAGCTGCGCCGGCATTCAACACACACAGACGGGTCGTCCGGCAATGGATTTGGCCTGTGGTGCTTACAATGCGAAAACCTGTGATCATCGTAAATGGTACAATTTCATGGGTGACCCCAGTTTGAGTGATTACGTACCCTTTCCTATTAACTACCAATATTTGAATGAGTCCAGCGATGAAGTGCGTTTAATTCTGCCAGCGAAAAATTGTACTGAAGCGTTGGAGGGCTCATATGCCTGCTCGTGTGTCGATTGCAGCGCTTCATGTCCATACATGGATCCACCAACTGGTGAAGAGAAAGGTTTTATGATTGCTGGACTCTATGGCATAACCTTCATAGTATCGTTGGTGTTTGGTGCGCTTGTGATGATTTGCATACTTTGCGGTTCATTGAATATCTTCAAACCGAAAATAAGCATTACTACATGCTGTACGGGTTTCGACTGTGTAAATACCATACTTTCAAAACTGTTTCTCAGTTGGGGTCATTTTTGTGCAAAGCATCCGGTACTGGTTTTGGCTATTTGCTCTTGGATAATTGGTGGACTCGCTTATGGTGTTATTTACTTGAGTGTGACTACAAATCCCATTGATCTTTGGGCTGGGAAAGAGAGTCAAACACGTCAGGAAAAGAAATATTTTGACGAACATTTCGGGCCATTTTATCGAACCAATCAGATTTTTGCCAAACCGTTAAACCAAACTACGGTAAGTTGCGGCTATAAAACAACAAAACCCTTAATCAAAATGTATTTATTGCAGTTTACACACAATACATCGGCGGGAATACTAACATTTGGTCCTGCATTCGAAAAAAATTTCCTCAAAGAGGTCTTCCTTCTGCAAGAACAAATCCAAAGTTTGACTACAGAGAATGGTGTGACTTTGGCAGATGTGTGCTATGCCCCTATGGTTTATGTTGGAGAGACGGTAACCATTGATAATTGCTTAGTACAATCAATCTATGGATACTATCAAAATGATATGGACGGATTCGATAGAGAATACGAAGATAGTAATGGCTACACAAACACATACCTTAACCAATTGGAAGATTGCTTGCGGTGAGTTTTATAAGATACCATAGTTGTTTTGTTATTTTTCAAACTATTCAACAGCGTCCCCATGTTGGAGTCGTGTTTCGCTCCTTATGGTGGTCCAATTGAACCTGGTATCTCGGTAGGTGGCATGCCGAAAGTATCGGCGGACGAGGACCCTGACTTTCAACTAGCCACTGGCTTGGTGCTCACTTTTCTAGGCAAAAATAAAATTTCTTCAAATGAACTCAAACCCAACATGGAGTGGGAGGAAGCTTTTATCAATTTGCTCAAGAATTATACAAGTGATCAAATGGAAATTGCATTCTCCGCCGAGAGATCCATTCAGGATGCAATTGTTGAGCTTTCCGAGGGTGAAGTTTCTACTGTCGTTATCAGCTATGTCGTCATGTTTATCTACGTCGCCATAGCATTGGGTAAAATACGCAGTTGCCAACGCTTCTTTAGCGAATCGAAAATAGTTCTCGCTATAGCCGGCATTATTGTTGTACTGGCCTCAGTTGTTTGCAGTTTGGGCTTCTGGAGTTATCTGAACGTAACCACCACCATGCTGGCAATTGAGGTGATACCTTTCCTGGTGTTGGCTGTTGGTGTAGATAATATTTTCATTATGGTGCACGCCTATCATCGTTTGGATAGAAGACAGTATAAGGATGTAGCAGAGGCGATAGCCGTTGCAATGGGTCAAGTTGGTCCATCGATTCTACAAACTGCCGGCTCGGAATTTGCCTGCTTTGCTATAGGTAAGTGCAAAACAATGTGGCAAATATGAAGCCGTTATGATAACAACTATATGTATATATATGTATGTTTGTACAGGCGCTATTTCTAATATGCCTGCTGTAAAGACCTTTGCCATGTATGCTGCCGCGGCCATTCTACTAAATTTCTTCTTCCAAATCACCGCTTTTGTTGCATTCATGGCTTTGGATGAACGTCGTTCCGAATCGGGGCGCTTTGACCTCTTCTGTTGTTTGAAGACTTCAAACAAAAGTGAACTCAGTGATGGACAGAATGTGGGCATTTTGGAGGAGGTCTTCAAAAGTTTCTACGCACCTTTCTTGCTTTCCAAGTATGATCGTCGTTCTAACGTTTTTTTTTTTTTTTATAAATGAAATAAGAATATATTATATGTAAATATTTATGGTTTATTACGTATTCCATAGACCGGTTAAAGTTACTGTTTTGGTTGTGTTCACGGTAATCACCTGCTTGTCGCTGATGGTAGCACCTTCAATCGAGCTTGGTTTGGATCAAGAAATGTCCATGCCAACCGATTCACACGTCGTTAAATATTTTCAATACATGAATGAACTTTTGTCAATGGGTGCGCCTGTCTATTGGGTCCTGACGCCAGGTCTAAATTATACGTTGCAAGATCATCAGAATGTTATTTGTGGCGGTGTGCAGTGCAATAATGACTCCGTATCAGTGAAGCTTTATCAGCAGTCACTTTACCCCGAAATGTAAGCACGTGCACATTCACCTTACTCCTTTGTTTAAGTTGTTCATATGCAAACATTTTACAGCACTTACCTTGCTCGATCAGCTTCCTCTTGGATAGATGATTATATTGATTGGCTTGGTATAGACGATTGTTGCAAGGTCAACGCTACGGATGATACCTTCTGTCCGAGCAGTAAGTATTCATGACTACTCCTTGGTAACGTTAGCTTCAATAGTGTTCCTACTTTTGCAGACTCGAAGGCGGATGATTGCGTCTCTTGCACGCGTGAGTTTACTGAGGATGGATTACGTCCATCCCCAGAAACGTTCCAAAAGTACATACCTTTCTTCTTATCAGATTTGCCAGACAGCGAATGTGCAAAGGCCGGACGTGCTTCATATGCGGATGTGAGTATACCAATATTCCAAAACTGACAATATATAATAGTAAAGTGATATGCAAACCCCTTTCTTTCCACTACAATATTTACGAATTAAACGCTTTACGTTTTATTTACGTCAGGCTATCGTTTACACACTCGATGAACAAGGCTCTTCGACTATTTTGGATACCCACTTATTCCAGTACTCCGCCACGTCCACCACGTCTATACAATTTTATTCAGCACTTCGTGAGGCGCGACGCATCGCAAGCAATATAAACGAAATGTTTGCTGAGAAAGAACTTGACGTCACTATTTTCCCCTATTGCATTTTCTTCATTTTCTATGAACAGTATCTGACCATCTGGGATGATGCACTGTACTCTCTCGGTATAACACTATTGACCATATTCCTGGTAACATTTATTATCACCGGTTTGGATCTGCCATCAGCACTGATGGTCACTGCGTTGGTTCTAATAATCCTTATCAATATGCTCGGCATGATGTGGGCCTGGAATATTACGCTCAACGCAATTTCATTGGTTAATTTAGTCGTGTGCATTGGTATCGGTGTTGAGTTTGTGGCTCATTTAATTCGTTCGTATAAAAATGGCATCGGTAGCACACAAGATCGAGCAAAGGAAGCGCTCATAGTAACAGGCAGCAGCGTTCTCTCGGGTATTACGCTCACGAAGTTTGCCGGCATCATCGTTTTGGGTTTCTCCAAATCACAAGTATTCCAAGTATTCTACTTCCGTATGTATCTCGGTATTGTGCTGATCGGAGCAGCGCATGGTCTTATATTACTGCCCGTTCTACTCAGCATATTCGGACCATCAAGTAAGCAGAGTAGCAAAAATATTAATATAGCTTAATTATATGACGATATTTTTAATCAAACTCGTTTTATAGCATTTTTAAGAAAACTTAGTGCGATACCAAGACAATAAATTAATTATTTTAAGCTGTAATTTATAATGAATAATAAGTAGAAAAATAATAAAATGGTCTTTAAAAGATTTAAATTTACAGCGATAACTGTTTTAATGAGTTCTCTGCTAATAATCGGAGCTCACAGCAGCTTCATAGGCGCAAATATATATGCAGCAGTCTCCGAAACCATTTTTACGCTGTCTTATGCTATTACAGTAAAACCACTAAGAAGAGCAAACAATAAGATATTTTATATTTCTATGTATTTACGAAAACTTTTAATCCTCATTTTAATAAACAAATAAGAAGTTCAAATTGGCTATTAGACGCTTGTTAGATATTGGTACTAATTCTTACTCTACATATGTTATGTTAATAAAAGAGTCTCTCTTGATTAGTTGAAAGCCAAGAAGCTTTGGGCTCACAGCATTGCCAGCTTTAAACTGCGTCACGTGTCGTTGGCGCTTGTAGTGACAAAATAATGTCCCTTATGAAATCTTCTTTTTGAATATAACATTTTCAGCTCGTCCAATTTATGAGGCGATAGAAAATTTAATTACCAGTCCGTTCAATCTTTTTTATATGAAAGTTAATGATTTCGCTATTGCCGAACTTCAACGAAATGCCATTGACAAAATGCAAATCACTCAGCTTCGTTGAGGTGCCAAGTTCAAAGTGATAAATTAATTTCACTATAAATATTTTTGCCAAATACATTGAATAACGATTTCCTGAAAAAACAGGTAAGAAAAATTAGCAATGCAAACACACTCTTAAAACTTTGACTTTACCGATACAGTAACGTAGTCCTTTGGCAAATGGCACAAACGCGTACGGATGTCGTCCCGCTGCGCTCGAGTTTCCTGCGATGAAATGTTCGGGGTAGAATTCTTGTGCATGTGGCCCCCAATACTTCGGATCCCGTTGCATATTGAACGCATCAAACACGATTGCAGTATCTTTGAGTATTTTGGCGCGCCACTTCGAGCCGCTGGGCGAAGACAGCTCTATAAAGAAATCTCGGCTCACCGCGCGCATATTAAACGGCACTGTAGTCAGTAGACGCAATGACTCGTATACTATAGCATCAAGATATTTCATTTGTAATAACTGTACAGGATCGATATTGGCAATATGTTGCTCTTGGGGAAAGGTTGCGGTGATTTCCTCGCGTAATTTGCGCTGGTGATCCTCATGCATAGCCAAAAGTAGCATGATGACCAGAACGCTTGTGGAAATCGTCTCGAATGACTAATAGTCATAGAATAAATATATGAATGTCAGACATTGAGAGTAGGTTTCAAGTGAGTTTCAAACTGGCAACTCATACTCACCACCATCAGCATAGATAGCGCCTCGTCCATAACATCCTCCATTCGCAGTTCCCCAGAATCAACCATATGAAATATTTGCTCAATAAAAATACGTTTTCGAGCGGTATTCTCCGAAGATATATTACGAATATTTCTTACATCTTCGGCACCATCAGCATTTGCGCCTCCACTATCGGTGCCAATGTTCCCCATATGGCATTCACCGCTCGCCCTCCACTCGGCGTGCTTCTTCTGCACGATCTGCAGAAGGATAAGTATAATGGATGTTAAAAGATAACATGTGACATAAGGTTAAGTTAGGTTAGATTATATTCAAAATTTGTCGTCTTGTAATTACATCAAAAATATATACATATGTATGTACTTACAACTCTTACAAAATCTTCCAAGTGCTTAATGAGTTCCTGGCAACGTTTGTAATTTTCCGCGTCGAGCCAACGAAACAGAAAGTCAACCTGTAACCAGGGTTTTGTACCTCTTAGTGCTGATATACCCATTAGTCTGCTCAAAACGCACATACACGATAGATTAGCTGAGCTGAAGGATATTAAATAAAAATGGTGTTACTTACTCGCTATAGGTCTTTGCTATACCTTGTGTGTCTGCGGCCGTGAAATTGGTTTCCGTGCCCATTGTGGTTTCTAATTGATAAGATCAGACAATTGAAAACATATTAATTAATTTTCTTCATCTTTTTTTAGAACTAAGTTGACTTACGACACGAAACCTCGAGCACAGCTCTGCTAAACATTTCGTCAAGTGTTTCAAATTCAATATTATCGCCTAACAATTCCGTTTCAAATTTGTGCACCAGCTGATTTCCTACGGTGTTGAAGGTGTCGATAAAGCTTAGTAAGACCTTAGAACCGAAAGCAGGATCCAGCTGCCTGCGACGAGATTTCCAAGCGGCCCCTAAATTGTAAACATATTTAGATATATGACAAAGGTAAAATTCTCCCCAGGTAAAGGTATCCAATAGATATCGGGATGAATATATACTATAAAACTATCATTATTAAATACTAAAGGTGAATGTTTTCTCATATTACCCTTAGCATGTAAAATTCCACGTTTCAAGCAAAAACCATCTTGAAAAAACGATTTGTCAATGCACTCGGGAGCATTAAAGAACTGTTCCATGGTTATGGGATCATCGACATAGATAACACTTTTATTGCCAAAGACGATGCCCAGTGGCCGTTGAAAGTAAGGACGTATGTGGGACACGACTTGGAGGAGTTCTAAAAAATATTAAATAACATGTTAAAAACAAAACTTTTCGGAAAGATGAGTTTTAGTGTTCAAACATTTTCCTAATTACTCGATTTCACTATTTTTGATGTACAGGTTGGTTGAAAAGTTAGTAGTGCTCACCAAGAAATAGCACTACTAGCTCCAAAGTTTTTTTACTCAAGTTGGCACATTTTGATAACACATGCAAAGTTACAAGTCATTTCTGTCAATTAATTCTTTGTTTACAAGCCATTTGAGTGGACGTGTCAGAGTATTTTTTTAATATGGAAAAAGTTGAATATCGCGCAGTGATTAGATTTTTTGTTTTGAAAGGTTTAAAAGCAAAGGAAATTTATGAACAATAGTAAGAAGTGTATAAGGAGTCCTCACCTTCAAAACGCACCGTTAAATTTTGGGCTAGTGAATTTAAAAGTGGTCGTACTAGGCTTGAAAATGATCCACTCGAAGGACGACCAAAAACCGCAACCACACCAGAAATTGTTGAGCAAGTTTATAATATTATTTGTGAAGATCCAAGTTTGACTAAGCGTGAAATTGCTAATGCCATAGGCATCTCAAACGAATGAGTACTTCATATTTTACATGGAGAATTTTACATAAAAAATTCGTTAGAAAAAACCTGATTTGCAGCACAGAAAAATTATTTTTCATCAACACAATGTACCTGCTCACAAAGGTGTTTTTACAATGATAAAATTCAACAAATTACAGTACGAATTGCTTGAGCATCCACCATATTCACCAGATTTGGCTCCCAGCGACTACTACCAATTCAGAAACTTGAAGCTAAGGGAGATTATATTGAATAAAAAAATATATTTCCTACCGAAAACAGTATTTTTTCATTTCAAGACCAAACTTTACAACCAAACTGTACATTGTAAAGTGAAATAATCTACACATGATTCAATTACATAAGGTTGTCTCGATAGCCGAAAAACAAAAATTTGTCAAAAGTAATGGATCCATAATGTCAAAATCATCCGTTTTGCTTTGTATTGTTTTGATTTTATGATTCAAATTTTAATTTTTCTAAGCTTCAAACCAACGAAAATGCGCTTATTGAGTAACAACTGAATACGAATAGATTGTAATCACACAAAATCATCAAATTGTATATAGAAAATTTATAAGAAAAACAGCAAAAAAAAAGTTTTTTTGACATTTGTATCGACACAACCTTATATAATTGAATTATGCTACATAGTCATCCTTGACATAGTCGAAAAAAAGGTTGCATAAGAGAAGTAGTCGTGAACCGTTTTAGCCACATTCTTAAACAGTAATATAAAGGATTGATCGATTGAGTATATACTGAAGTTGTCCCTATGTAGAAGCAATTTCCAAGAAAGGCTGCCGTATTATTCTTTTCGACGAATTTAATGTTTCGCTGAACAGTTTTGTAAGTTAGCTGGGTGTGGTTGATGTCTGAATACATCTATTTTCAACTGTATTAATTAACAGCACATAAAAATGTTTTCACAAAATTCGCTTGGCATAGCTTTTACAGTTTGTATTACATATGTGGTATTAGAGCATAAGGTCACGTCCACATTTTTATTAAGTATTACACCTCAGGCGTCCCTCCCAACTGTGGATTTATGTATTAAATTTAAATTTTCACTTTGTTATGGTGCTTTATTTCTGTTCGATTAACGGTATTTTGTGGGCATGGCAATGGCACGAATTATGAAGCCTGTTAATTTGCGTTCGGTTTGTGGTGCTCGTTTGTTGAATTCGTTTGTTAAAGACTACGTAGTACCTACATTACTTTCGAACGTCGATCATGAGTTTAGTTTTGTTTATGTTAAATTAAATATGTGGAAGATATATTACTTTAAAATATTTAAAAGTTCGGCAGAGGCTCTCGTTTACTCGAATATATTTATGTTTATTTGTGAACTTAACTCTTTGGCTCCAGATAAAAGATAAAGATGAACCACAAGTATGGCTGCTGCAGCAAGCCACGCCAACCATTGAGGCGCCACACCAGCAACCACGCATTGCGTTGCCACCAAACAACCGTACAGATCAGCAACAACAAAACCAATAGCGTCACTTGCAACATCACACACCGTTCGATGGCTGAGTAAGTAATTATTGTCAAAATTTGTTTTGATTTCGCCTAATTAGCTGCACTTTGTAGGCAAACAACGCCGTCGCCTTTAATCACCGCTTGACCGTTTACGGACACTTTAACAACGCGTGTGCGCGCGTGCTTGAATTTTTATTGTTTTTATTATTCAACGGTATGTTTCGCAGAAACTGTTTTTAACTTGAACATTTGAACTTGAAGACACAACGAATTGAGGAAGGCTTTGATTGTGAGGCGACCAAGGTATTGCCGGATAGAAAATGCCACACTAACTGAAAGACAATATCGCTTTCTAACTGCTTTTATACGCGCCTGTATATTGGCGCTGGGTATAAATAGGCAAACATAATGAATATGCATTGAAGTGCATGTATTTGTGTCGTTAATGCCGCCCAGAAGGCATTCTAATATTTTACTGCTACTTTGAATGAGACATTGTTTTGGAATTTCGGTTGGACACTTTTGGGGTTAATACTACATTGCATTTGTTTTTGACATTGAGTTACTACAATTAGGAGATACGAATTATATTATTATGTATATATAGTAGAGCTCTTGGTATTCGACTAATCGACTAACCGGATTAACCGGATAGGGCATTATTCGAATAATAATATTCGGTTTACACTATACGGATAGCCTTAGGTGATCATATTTGTCCTGACAAAATTCAGGACGGTGTATCATGTATGTATAATTCACTGAAAATCGCGACATATAATAGTCCAACACAAGCAACACAATTTTATTCAATACATTCTTGTTTTTTTTCTAAGCCCGGGACGGCCGGGACGTTTAACACTCAAAAAAACAAAAAGGCAAAAATCAAAGGCTGCTTGGATTTCAAAGAATTTTCATTTATTCAAATACTCGCCGCAAAGTAACTATTCGAATAGTCGCAATGTTACAATTATTCGAATTGTACTATTCGGTTAGTGTTCGTACGAACGATTGCAGACCGGATGTTCGAATAATGGGTTTTCGGGTTATTCAAATAATTTTAAGAGCCGAAATATATATAAGTATCACATTTGCTGTCAAATAAACCAAATAGTAAAAAACCCGAGGGTACGACCTTGAGGATTCAACAATGAAAAAGGATAAATGTGTGTATGTAAGTATGCGTATTTCGGAAAATAATGATATGTTTCAGCTCAAGATTGATTTAGTTGTATTGCTGTATCGCAAATTCTGTCAGCCGAAACCTTGAAGCAATGCTCAATCGGGCATACATAACTGGTTTGGACACGGCTATTTATCCTGCCAAGGCCTATCAACTCGCATATTGGTAAAACGATATTACTAGGACAATTTTAAAACGAAGATACTCTAATTCTTAGAACAACATTTTGTCCTACAATTAATTCATTTCAAAAGTTGAGCTTTTTCACTTTTCTGCTTACCTTGCTATTACAATAACAATTTAAAAATGATATTTGGTGGATTGTAGAATAAATTTGAAATTTAAATATTTTGGCTATGAGTTGAAATTACTAGCTTAAGTGAACATATTATATTAATAAACAACAGTTATTCTAATAAAGAAATCTCAAATGTGGATCCGCGGTGTCCCCGTCGTATACGTAACATACGTTAAACGCTAGGAACCGCACGCAATCTCCCTTAAACCAAAAACCAACATTTTATTCTTCACATAACAATTTCCCAATTGTTCCTCACCGAAAGTAATTGGCTAAAAGCATTTAAAACATTCCAGCCCACCAAAAAACTACAAAGCACTTGTTTGTACATATGTATTCACGTCTTGTAAGTATGTACAATTTGTTTGCAACCACAACCGTAAAAAGAGAAGAAAAGAAAAACATTTCGTTGGTTAATAATAAATAACTGATTATAATAAATGCGGTTGCTGTGGCTTCACGGGTTTGCATGTCAGAAATAATCACGAATATTGTCGAATTCAGCAGAAGCACACACACACATACACACACTAATATGTGTACACATGCAAAGCGTTGAAAGGAAAGAAGTGAGGTAGGTCCATGAAAGAAATTCAACAAATTTGCTGCGATTTTATTTCTTTTTGCTATAAATTTCATTTCAAACAATAAAACGCAATCCATTAAAGGGCGGTCGCTCGGTCACACGCTCACTAACTACCCTCTCGCCATGTATTGTCATATTGGTGCGCATTTTCGGTGCACAAATGAAGTTGAGTGCCTTCACACTGTCTGCCAGATCTGCCGGCAGCCAACCATACACTTCACCAGACAGATGCGGCAATATGGTACGTGCACGCCTTCTGCCACACTGCTCAACGAACTTCGTAAACTTTTCGACATTCAAAGTGTTTTGATCGTGTCTCGCGTAGAACTTCGTTGCCAACGGTTCGACTGCAAATGCACACGAGTTTCAAGTTAAGAGAATAAGCAAGTGTATATGCATGTGTGTGTGTGTGTATAACGCACCTAATGTGCATGGCACAAACGTGTAATGTCCGCAAAAGTGGCGATTTTGATTTTCTATAAGCTCCTTTTCGAAATTGTACGGCAATACGGCTCTAGGCGGTGCCTCCTCCTCTTCCCCATCGGCATTTTTAGTCTCAATAGGTGGCGTTATGCGTACGCTCATGTTGCTATTCCAGAAATATCAAAGAAGCAGAGCTCGTGCTCGGTGCGTGGTGCTTTCCGGCGCGTTCGGCAACAAACTGACTGGTGAAATTTTCAGTTTTCCCCGTTATGTGTGTCCCATTTATTATTAGTGAACTCTCCGCCTGCCACAAATTACAACGAAACAAATTGACAAGATGTCATGGAGAAGAGGGGGTGGCGAAAAATCGCGTTTATATGCACGAAAGAATTGTAGATTAAATGTCATTTATGGTTTGTTGGAATGTTGAGTGCATACATGCTTATGATAGGACAAAGTTTTTGATAGCAATTAAATGAAATTGAAAGTTTATAGACTACTCCAGCGGTGGCACTATGCTGCACAGAGCAACAAATGCATTAACCGTAAACTGTTTCCAACAACAAAAACTTTTAAGTGTTATATATGTATGTATACATCATATTGTCTAATTTGTTTCCGTTATAGCTGTTTAATGTGCCGTAGAATATTTTCTAGTAGAGATTTTTATACACTGAACAGGAAATTTTAAGTTTGCCACGAAGCTGCTTTGCCCAAAGAAGCTGCTCATTGGTCGGAACCAACGATATCGGACCACTATAGCATATAGCTGCTATACAAACTGAGCGATCAGTGTTCAGTCCTTGTATGCAATCGTTTGTATTAGTGAAGTGTATTACAACTTCACAACCGAAGTTTAATTTTTTTTTTTAAGTTTCATCCACGGAGAAGGCCGGAATTATTGCAGCAGTAGAAGACTTTTTTTTAAGTGCCATCGGAGTTCGACTCGTAACTCGAAAAATATTTAATTTCATTTCAACATTTTACTATGTATTCTTAAAATATACATAAATATATCAAAGAAATTCTAAAATAATTGATACAGTAGCTTTTTTCCTTAATATCCAAAAATCGACTTTTTTAGGCTGTCACACTAACTGTGACCCTTAAGGGGTTAAATGGGTTTCGTCGAGTAAAAAACGCCCTATTTTCAATTTTTTTTTTTCATTTAAAATATTAAATATTTTATTCAAACTTTTTATTATTTCGAAGATACATTTTTGATAAAGATTTTGTGAAATTTTCAATGGAAAATATTCAAAACTCGGTCATTACGACGTCATTTCCGGCAGTCCCTCGGAAAAAAAGGTGCATCCGCGTTGACAGCAGAGTTTCAGACAGGATCATCAAAGGAAAAAAGACAAAAAAAAATATGTGTTTGAACCATTGACCAGGTTTTAGGGTGAGAAAAAACCAATCAAGTGAAAATTGTATTTTTGGCAGATGTTTTTACAAAAACATGCAAATTTTGGTGAACATTTTTCGACGTTTTTTGATTTTTAAATAGTTGTAATTGAACAAAAAAATCCTGCGCGGCTAGACTGTAAATTATATCTCAAAGACGTGTGCAAATCCTGACAACCGACTTTGAAAATACACTTTCAAGAAAAACGCGTTTAAAGTTTTAAGTGACTATATAGCTGACCTCGAGCGCGCAACTTTTCAAAGATGTATCTCCAAAACCATTACTGGTGTCAACTTGCGAATTTAGTAAAATATTCTAGAGATGTTATAAAATTAAATTATATAATAAAGTTTTTTTTTGCAGCCGCGAAACCCATATAACCCCTTAACTAAAGGAAGCTTTTAAAAAACGAAGTTTCTTTTAGTGCAAAATTTGTCAGCATATTTAACATTTCATGTTTCAATTACGATAATATCCAAGAACTATTTTAGGCAGAAGAAGGAATTAACTCAAGCACAAAAATAAATTATTCAACCACAAAAAATGTTAGATTTTAAAATAATAATCATTTATTATTATTTACTAATTTCTGTTCACAATTGTGCATGCAACTAACAGTGTAGATAATTATACATTCTTAGCCACAAACACATACATTCATACATGAGAGAAGTTATTTTGCGATTGTCCTTAAATTACTCACAATGAAATTGAAGCTTATTATAACGGCATAAAAAATCTAAATACAACAAAAAAAAAAAACAAAAAACGATGACTTTGCGCCATGGTGCGAGTTCTTATTTAGAATTTCAATATTTGAAACCACTTTATTGCAAAACATTATTCTAAACCTGATTTAATTAAAAAAGTAAATACAAATACATTACTTTAGGAATAACGTAAATCAAATTACCACTATTTAACTACAATATTACACATTGAGGAGCTAGCGCCACAATGAATCTTAAAGCAAGCGTTACTTTTAGGTGTTGCAGAAGCTTCATGGAGATTAGCTTAAATTCCGTTGCAAGTCTTCAGGCTGTATAACTACTATAATACAAAATTCATCGTTAAGCTGATAACAATGCTGGAGCCCCCAGTTGTTCTATGGATAGTATTCGCGGTAGGCGAATTTATCCACAAAATTTGGGGTGTCACAGGTGAAAACTTCATAGCCACGCCGCGTTTTCGTTTTTACCGTTGCATTTAGCCTTTTCAGTTTTGGGTAGCTTTGCAGCGATATCCGCACCTTCTCGTGCAGCAGCGCTTCATTGAATTGGTAGCGCTGGTTGGTGGTTTTACGCAAAATCGTGTGCACCAACTGCGACCACACAGATTCGCCGCCGCCGCCGCCGCCGCCGCTGTCCTCTACACTTTGCTTAACAACTTTGTTTTGTTCCTTTGTTGCCATTGAATTTTGGTCCTCATTTGGGGGCTTAGTTGTAGGCTTCGCTTCATCAGTGAGAATGGCCTTTGGCTGCTTGGTAAGACCATCTTCGATCATTAGAGCTTGTAAGCGGTCAAAGGTTTCCATTATACGCTTCTTGAACTCGACTATTCTGCGTACGTGTGCGAAGAGTGGTTGTGGTGCGTAGCTTGGCTTGGCATCGTCTGCTTCGAATAGCGCGAGTATCTCGGTCTCATTCAGCAAAGGTGTAAAGGTACGTTTCTTATCGGAGGTGCCATTAATCAGTATTTTCAATAGGAACTCTTGCATGGCAGTGGTATTGACCAGTGCCTGTTGATAGTCGGCATGCAGTAGGGTCATTTGTCGTAGCATTACACGCAACGAAACATTTTCGCTATCATCGGTTAGTTCTAGTTCATCACTGCCACTGTGATTCAGCGCTGTAAGCACGCGATCAAGCAGCTCAAAATCGGTATCACGGAAGGCGAGTATATCCAGACGTGCAATTAAATTGACGTTTGCTAGGTACTGTTGTTGCAGGTCATAGAGCTCCCACAGTGTGCGCGTTCGACTCTCATACTCCTTTTGTACCACTGCACCCAACACAGCTGTTATATTCTTGTGCAAGAGCTGAAGTCCCGATATAAATCGTGCATCTAGCGTAAAGTTCCGCATAAAACCGTGCACATAATGCAGCGCGAGTTCAGAATGTAAGAAATCTTCGCGGCTCATTGCGAAGAATTCGTTCAAATCTGTTACAGTCAGATGATTGACTGATACAGATTGATCTTCTTCAACAGCTTCAGCTGTGCCGACGGGCTCCTGTTTTACTTTACGTGCATTTTTGATACGCTCGAAATTCTCCACCAGCCTCTCACCAGCAGGGTTATCATACTCATCGAACACATCTATATCCACCGGTGCCGTGGATACAGTCTTCAATTTGCCTTCTCCAGTTGGTGTATTAGCGATTTGTTGTTTTATTTCTTTTATGATTGACGTCGTCTGTTCGCCACAAGTGAATGCCTCATTAATCTCTCGCTCCGCTACTATTCGTTCACGCTCAGTTTTAAGCATATTTGCATCACTAAATATACGATGATCTAGATTGTCGAAAATGTCATCGTGTATGTCATGGCAACAGTACAACGCAGACATGTCGATGGGATGAGCTTCTGTGTTAAATATATAAGAACCTGCATTTACAGTACAGTCACCATTTGGAGTTTGCAGCCGATCGCCCACAGCACCGTCATTGTGCAGAAAATTATCCTCATCGAAAAGTAGATAGAGGTATTTTGTGGTTTCTGCGAGGTAAAAAGATTCCATTCTATTCTCTTTCTCGTGTGTAACAACATTTCGAATCTATATTTTAGGACAAAAATTATTCATTTATAACATATTTTGCTCTGTATGTATGAAGCATACTCACCGTAGCATATCCACATCGCGTTTTGGCGCTGAACTCAATTGTCTGTATTATGTCGTCACCCAATTCTAAAAGAAATTGATTTTTTGTTGCACGATATAAGTACATCACTGACTCGATCAATTCAGGTCTCAAAGGGTAAACTTCTCTATTTGGCGACGCCTCTCCCAGTGGTATATTATAGAATTCTGGTAAAAATCCGTATTTTCGCCACACTGTGCTATATTTTACTAGTGTGCGCATTGCTGGCCCTATATCGCCAAACATGCTTAAGATGCCTGGCCAGAAAGCTTCAAGTGATTGAAAAACAGGTAAAGTAATTTGGCCCTTATTCATATTGGCCCAAACATACCAGTCTTCTTTTTTGAGATACTTGTCTATGTGCTCCCGTGCTTCGTGAAACAACTCCATCAACTCGGGTCGATTAAGCATAATGGAACCCTTCACTAAGTATTCAAAGTATGAATCTACTCCCGCACCTATTCCTGAGTCAAGTGCTGTCCATCGTCCAGTTTGCACATCAATGTGGTTGCCAAAAAGTCCGATTGCCGAGCGTCGTTCCCACAATGAGTGCATTGCATTGAGCGCGACATCTTCATAAATTGAATTGCCTGTAAGTCGGCTCAGTGCTCCGAATTCAATTAGAAATGTACCCACACCAGCGGTACATGTAACTGAAGTCTCCCCTTTCGGCACACCGTAACGCAAATTCACAGTGCCGTATGGCATGCCGGTAGCAGTATCGAATGCGGGCAATAGTCGACGCGCCACGTCCTCTGCTAAACGTAGTAATGGACCTTGGCAGGGCCAACCTTCTTCTAAGGGCACACCAGCACGTTTTGATAATATATGCGCTGAAAGCAATCCACCCACAATTCGTATGTTTGTTTCGAAAACTGACACATTTATGTCTTTGTCAAAATTCACTGTTTCCAGAATTTTAACAACTCGTCGGAACTCTGTATAATTGCCCATTGTAGCGAGTGTATCCAGTGCATCGATAAGAGTTAATGAGTAGCTACCCCAAGTGTCAATGCCGTCACAAGTTAACGGTCGTAGCTCATCGTAGTCAGAAGCGTACTGTAAATAACCATCATAAGCATGTTGGAACATCCCACGTACCTTTTCTCTAAGAGAAAAAATTATTATTTTCAATTTTATATCCATTAATCAATCCTTAGAAACAACCTTAGCTCCAAGATGCGCTCTTTTGAATAAAACCTAACACCTTGAGTTTCTAGAGTTCCATGTGTGATGATAAGATATATAAATATTACTCCCATTTGCCAATAACATATATTTTTAAACATCTTACGGTTTATAAATGTAATTTTTTTAATTATCTACACTAATCTAATTAATGTTTTTATAAATAAAGAAAATTGCCACACCGCAAAACCACAAATATGACAACTTTAGAAGTAAACAACCTAAACATCTGATTACCGTTGCGGTATGTTCACTGTATAACAGACAGGGTTGATTTATTTGTTAGTGATTAGATATGCCCTTACACTTGAACATTTGTTTACTATTTTATTTGTAAAATAGTGCCATTTATTAAGGCAGTTCCACATAAAATAACTACTAAAAAATACTAAAAAATTAATCACTTTAATGCCAACTAATTACAATATACAATGTACTGAATATTTTTATGCAAATGCATATCTGTAGGTACGCATTGAACGTACCCCGAAAAAAATAGAAATGTCAATGATGGCGATTAATTCTTTTTCAAACTATGAAATTTAATAAAATAGTAAAACTATTTGGATTTTGTTCAAAGTTTCGTACAAAGCAAGAAGTTAAAGATAAATAGTTGGAAATAAATAGCGGTTAAAAGGTAAGTGAGTGCATATTTATTTTGAAAACTTTTTTAACGCCTTCTTAAGATAGATGTTATAAAAGCATGGGGAGCGTTTGGATTTTCGAATTACCATCATAGAGATAAATAATATGTGTAATTTTAAGGTATTAAAAGATTTGAAAGAATCTTTAGCAAAGCTTTGGTGGCGAACACTAATAATAGATGTGCATTTAAATATTATAGAGGAATGTTCGTTTGGAACATACGCTGGACTGGGCAGTAAATTTGTGCGTATATAGTGCATACCCAGTATCAATTGTTTATGCGTTTGACCGCAATATAAATTCAATGCAGAATACCTTAGATTGAAAAGTATCCTCTAATACATCAACGCAATTTGAAATTGATTATTCGTTGCATTGGACGCACTAACTGGTTCGATGGTGTATACCTGCCATATACGTTGTTTTGACACTTCTTACTGGCTATAGTTTTTACAAGATCCGGACATGAATACTTCTATATACTTCGTACCTGAACACTCTTAAGGCATTCTGCATGATATGAATCTGAACGTTCCAAAGACAGTCGGGTTTATGCACAATGATCGGACCCGTATTTATACCGTCGGACGACTGTCATTCAGCACAAAATAACATCATAGTCAATATACCACGGACTTTATCCGAAAATTTGGAATTGATCAATTTTTAGGTCATATAATTTATTAGTGGTTTTAATAATAAGTATGTATTGAAGGAATATTCTCATAAACAATTTATGGTATAGTATAATGATCATTGCGAACCCAGCACCAGCTTTCACTTTCATCCCATTAACATCAATAAAAGTTAGAAGAACTAACTTGAAAAGTCGGTTATAGAGAAAAATAAGCTGCTAGTAAAGTGATATATTTATGTTCTTGTATATTTAGAGCAAAATGCAGTGCCATTCCCCAACGTCCTATTTTTATACAATGTGGAAAAATATAATCTATATTGGTTGCATATATATTGAGTTATATTTTGGCATTTAATTGTAAATGTATGGTGTATAATATCTATACAAATTACAAAACAATAGCACAAAGGTATAAAATGTTCACATTTTATATATGGGGCTATGTATGTACATAATTTTGAATATTGATGTTTGTTTAATGACATAGTCCACTGCGTCCTTTTGCATATGTATATACATATATTTTTCGGTGGTTTAAGTATTTATTGATGTTTGAAGATAAATATATTTGGTAGAGCATTATTTCTAACTGAAAATGCAAGTTTGAATAATAATAATTGAAAATGTTTTTTAGTTTACAAACTTCATTTAGCAGATACGTTATAAGCCTATTAAACAAAGCTTTGGCACTACGTTGAAGTAAAACGTAACAATCTATGTTTTGCTTTATATTCGTTGTCAGTTTTGACATTTTGCGTAGAAGTCAATCGATAATTTTTCTGCTCGGTCGATATTTTCATTTCTTTCTTGAGTCAAGAGACAATAAAAAAGTGATAGAAAAGGAATTTTTCGGAATATTTTGCAATAATTAGTTTAATTGCGTGAGGTCGTGATAATAAAGAACGTAAATGAGTACATTAAGCAATAACGGAAGTTGAGGAGTGCATGCAAGCAAACAAACGCTGAAGGTGGAGAAGGAGGAGCGGAGCATACTGCGCGACATTGAAGTTCCATAACTGCTGCAACTGGCGCTGTCGCTGCGCTGCTGTTTGTGTGTCTAGACGAGGAGGAGCGACGAGGGAGCACAAGGAAGAGGGTGATAGACATTGGGAGACACGCACAGCCGCGGAGGCGACGAAAGGAGGCATAGTAGTAGAAGCGGACAATTGCGATGTTAGCACAAGAAATTAATTTACTTTGGGAGTGTGCAACCATTACGATCAAACACATTTCGCCACATACCCGTAAATTTGTGTGTTCACTGTGTACATATAGTAGGTAAACTAGTGTACAATGGGAAAAACATCTGGTAATGAAGAGAGCTAAAAGATGGTATCAACTCTGGGCGCCACTGTCGCGTTTATTCGCTCCCGCGACAAGTTTAATTAATGTAACTCGTGCTTTCGCATTTGTTTAATGCATGACGTCCGTTCATATATTTGTTTAAGACCACCCGAAATTCTACGTTATTTAATTCAATGAACAAATTATTAGAAATGGCTCAGTGTCCGCATGTTTAGAACGAAACAGTGCATGAAACTGTCATCACTGCATAAAATAAAACAATTTTAACAACTTACTTGAATTAAAGATACTGTAATAATAAGAAAGCGACATCTTACACATTTTCGTTATTAACAATGAATAGGCAACATATCTTTCGCCTTTATAAGTGGCTAGTTAGCCCTATTGCTTCCTAAAATTTTAACTGGATACATCCTTTTGAAATTATCAATTTCTTCACATTCAAGCCATTGTTTTATCCTTAAATTTCAGAAACTCGACGAGATACTAGCGTAAGCCTATACTGGTTATGTAACTCATAAATTATTGGCGAAAAAATGTTTGGCTATCTTATTCATAATATAAGCCCCATAGGAAGTTTGGTTCTTCATGTCCTTTCTATACATTTGTTACTTTTTTCTTGGAACATATTACTGTTCTGATATACATATATATATATCTAGTTTTAAATCAAAACTGCTATCTAATCATTTCTAATGTTCCAAAGTAATCACTCATTAATGGTGCTTTATTTACAGTATTTGATTAGGCTTAATTATGTCAATCAATCCCATTTTTCTTCGATCTACTTCAATTAGTCTATATTAATATGAGATTTACAAACAATTTATTGGAAAGTGAAAGTTTTCTTTACCGTCCCTTCACTGCTAACGTATATTGCCGATGGTCATTGGTATATCGCTTGGACATAGCTACATGAGCTTACCTTTTGTGCACGTAGAAGAACCAAGTGACACATATGTTTACACTTTTTATCGGCATTAGCTTATCAATTGCTGTCTACGGTGGCAGCTTTGGTGTTCTTATCACTTATCAGCATTACTTGAATCTTAGCGAAATGTGTTTGTCGTCGTGGTGGAAATTCAATTGTACCTCCAAAAAGATAAATTGAAAAAATGTAATGGTTAAGACGAAGGTAAATGTGATTTGGGTTGTGGGGTGTGCGGTAATGTACTTACTCGTACCAACACATTCACTGACGCATCACGAGTGAAGAAGTAGTCAATCGTTGCTAAAAATAAGACAAACTATTGGAAGTGGTGATAAAATTAAAGCTTGTGTTGTCTAAATTTCAAAACATACTTTAAGAAAGTTTGGATATCAATATTTTAATTAATTGCTTGACGAATGATTAATCCATATGCGTTTAAATACGATCGTCGTATATAATCGTCTGATAGACGGTAAAAAAATATCGCGATATTAAAATTTTCAAATATTTAATTACTTTTTCTAATGCCTGAAAACTAAGAAATTATAAAAGCACTTGCAACTGCATCTATCGTCGTCCATGCCAGAACATTTCGCTCAGTTAATTTCAAACATTGCTATAATGTTTCGATTTTTTCACAGTATTATCGCTATTTCGACATGGTCAGCACAAATTTGGTGGTGCCGGTGGTACTTTGGGGCCCCTCAGCACCAACCCACTGCGTATCCAGCGTATTTCTATCCGATGATCAATCAACACTCGTCACCGGTTGCTACGATGGTCAGATCTGTTTGTGGCAAGTTGACCCGATGACTATGAAAATGTCACCGCGCTGTCTGCTGGTTGGACACTCGGCACCAGTTTTGTGCCTCGTACGTGCCTCCATACTGCCTGAAAACAATTTTCTCGTCAGCTCTTCGGAAAATGGAGAAATGTGCACATGGGATCTCATCGATGGCAAATGTATGGAATCGGTAAAGTTGACACAGGTGCACACACAAATTCAAAGCTATCACCCAGCCAACAGCGAAGATGTGCGCCTCTTTTGCATTGGCTACTACCCTGAGATAATCGTAATGGACCCATTTAGTTTGGAAATAATTTATCAGCTCAGTTCAAAAGTAAAGCCCGACTGGATTTCGGCACTACACGTTTTGCGTCCCATGAAACGCAAGGACGATGTCGTTTTGGCGATCACTACCACTGGTACCGTGAAAGTTTGGACGCTTATTGGTAACGAGAATAAACATGCTGAGCCGATCTATGAAAATGAATCGAAGGAAATTCGTTGCTTAAATGCCATCACCATGAATTGTTGTGCACAAAATCAACGCACAGTACTAATTGTTTGCACCAAGTACTGGCAAATCTATGATGCGGGAGATTTTACAGTACTCTGTTCAGTCATCGCACCGACACGCGAACGTTGGCAAGGTGGTGATTTCATCACTTCCGATCGCGTCATGCTGTGGACTGACGAGGGCAAAGGCTATATTTACAAGCTACCTGCCAATTGTATACCAGACAACAAAGAGTTCCATGCCAAATCAGTGGTACGTGATGCCCCCTACTTATATTATGTACTGCAGCAACCGGGCGATAAAGTGTTGTCGTGTCCACCCGCAATGAAATTGCTGCGATATCAACGCGAAGAAGGCAAGATGCAACACTATTTGTTACGTGGAGATTCAGAAGGCTATATCTCCGTATGGACTGTTCCCGAGGTACCACTGGATAACATCTGCATATTGCAAGCGAAACAAATGCCACCAAGAGTGCTTAAACCTACTGTCTGTACTTCGCTAGTAGAGGCCTGGTCTATCATGGATCCACCGCCCGTTGGTATACTCGATCAACTATCGCGTATCACAGAAACGCCCGTCAAACTAACCTCAAGCATTTACCTACCGCAGCAAAGTCGGTTGGTAATTGGACGTGAAGATGGCACCATTGTTATCGTGCCTGCCACCCAAACCGTTATGATGCAGCTGTTAATAGGCATCAAGCAAAACTTCAGCGATTGGCCGTCACATCAAATTCTCTACGGCCATCGCGGGCGTGTCAACTGCCTATTGTGTCCTTCACTGGTGCATCCACGCTACGAAAAGTCTCATTTACTATCAGGTGGGGTCGATTTCGCCGTTTGTTTGTGGGACTTGTATAGTGGCAGTTTGTTGCATCGCTTCTGCGTGCATGCCGGCGAGATAACACAACTGCTGGTGCCTCCGGAGACTTGTAGTAACCGCATACTGAAATGTATCTGTTCGGTTGCATCAGATCACTCGGTAACGCTATTAAGCTTACAGGAACGCAAATGTGTTACACTTGCGAGTCGTCATCTGTTTCCGGTAATATCCATAAAATGGCGTCCACTGGACGATTTTCTTATCGTTGGTTGCTCAGACGGTTCTGTGTATGTGTGGCAAATGGAAACAGGTCACTTGGATCGTGTGCTACATGGTATGCTGGCTGAAGAGGTGCTATTGGCGTGCGACGAACAGTCTGCTGAAGATGGTAGTGGTGGGCACAGTGGTGCAACCGCGGCCACTTCAGAAATGGGAATGGCCAATCCGGCTGTACACTTTTTCCGCGGCATAAAATCCCGGAATATGAACGCCATACGACATGCAACTCAACGCGGCATACATCAGCTGCAGCAACTGCAAGGCCATAACCAAGGTAACTTCGATTTCCTAATGAAACACCGCAGCAATCCGCTTGTGATTCAAGGTTTACGTACCAATCCTAAAGATGCAGAAAGTCATATATTATTTTTCGACATTGAAGGACTAATATTTGAATTGCATAGCGAAGAGTATGCACAAATGACGCCCGCTGCCCTAGAGGCGCTGGGTGTGGTTCTAAGCAACCCGAAAGATAAGGCGGTGCATCTGGATGCATCCAAAAAAATTAGCGATTTCTTTGGGAAGGTGAAAAACAAAGCTGGCGATATGGAAAAAATATTGAAAGACAAGGATAAACACGGACTAGTGCAGAAGTTCAAGGAGAAGACGGAGGCAATGGAAAAGAAGGTGCAAGCGAAAGTCGAAAGTTTTCAAAAAGTCGTGGAGACGCAAGATCAGCCTGATGACTTGCGTAACAAAATAGCTTCGAAAATGGAGGTGACACACGTGATGGAAGTGGCGCAATTATTGCTATCACTTTTACACTCCTGGGGTCTCGATCCACATTTGGATAAAGTGTGTGAATCACAGTTGGGTCTGCTGCGTCCAATTGTGCCAGTTTCGTTTGGCGTTCTTTCCAAGGCTGGTTACATGTCGCTGCTGTTGCCCACATGGCAGAACAACTACCAAATACCCGACAATATACCACCCACGCCTAGTAGCTCGAAGAAACGCGATATTCCGCCTGAATTACTGCGCCAAGAGCAGTTAACTGCTGTCTTTACATCACGTTTACATTGGGAGTTGAGCACAACATTGACGTCAAACCACATATTGGCACTCGTGGCGATGTCCAATACTCTGATGTCGATGAACGCCGCATCTTTTCTTCCCGATAGCGAAAAGAGCAAGAAATTGCAGCGATTGGCTCAACGTACCGAATCCACGCTGAGTAACGAAGAGGAGCGTGAGGAGCTCATAGCACATCACACATCGCAAATCAAACAGGGCTGGAGTTTATTGTCCACACACCATTGCTTCCTATTGCCCGACAAGATCGAGGCATTAGAACCACGAAAATTCAAACGGCCACAAGTTGAGGCGATGGCCAAGCGTTGGCAACATCATTGCATTGAGATCCGCGAGGCGGCCCAACAGATTCTACTTGGTGAATTGACGCGCATGGGTAAGAAGGGGCGCAAACAGCTGGTGGATAGTTGGGCACAGTACTTACCGCTCTACACGCACACCGAACCCATCGCACAGCCACAAGTGCTGGCGGCGGCACAGGGCAACAGTGGCAACGGCACGAATGGTCATATCGGCACAGTTGACAATCAGGACGAGGACTACGAGGAGGAGGAAGAGGAAATCATACGCAAGCCGTCCAGTTTGTCTGAATTGAAACGCAAACAGACAACGGCTGTCATATTGTTGGGCGTAATCGGCGCCGAATTCGGACAGGACATTTCACAAGATTCACCACAGCGTGCAACTGCTGAAAGACGAAAATCCTCGGTGGCTGAAGGTTTTGGCATAGCCAATAATTTGGCCCGATTAACGTCTATGGCTTTAGCCCATTTGCTTTACGCACCACCCTCACAAAAACTACCAAAGTACACGCCACTTCGACGTGCAGCAATTGATTTGCTTGGACGCGGCTTCACAGTATGGGAACCATATTTAGATGTAAGCAAAGTGCTGCTCGGTTTGTTGGAAATCGCTTGCGCCGGCAAATCGGTACCTAATCTAAACTACAAACTACCATTGACACCACAGGCGGATGCGTGTCGTACCGCGCGACATGCCCTTCGTCTGATTGCGACTGCAAGGCCTGCCGCCTTCATAACGACCATGGCGCGCGAGGTGGCACGCTACAACACTATGCAACAGAATGCACAGTCCATTAACCAACCAATTACCCAGTCAGTGCTTTTTAAAGCCAAGGCGGAAATAATATTGTGCGTTGAAATGCTCATTGATAAAATGCAAGCTGAAATCGCCAGCCTACTTGTAGAGGTGATGGACATTACTCTGCACTGTGTGGACAATAATGAGTTGAAGGCGCGCGGCCTAGCCGAGGTATGTCCCTCGATATGCAAATTTAATCAAATATCGCATTGTGGTCAAACGCGACGTATTGCCGTTGGCGCACACAACGGTCATCTGGCAATCTATGAACTGCGTCAAAACAAGTGCCAGATGATACCAGCGCACACACATCCCATAACTTCGTTGGCTTTTTCGCCGGACGGCAAATTCCTTGTTTCTTATTCGTGCAGCGAAAACCGGCTATCCTTCTGGCAGACGAGTACCGGCATGTTCGGCTTAGGCAATTCACAAACACGTTGCACTAAAGGCTACTCGACAGCACCCATACCCGATGTGTCGCGCTTAAATCCGATGCGTCTAGCCAAATTGGTGTGGATCAACAATCGCACAGTCACGCTAATGTTGGCCGACGGCTCGGAGACGCGATTCAATGTGTAGGTTGTGCGGCGTGGTTTGGGACGGAATAGAAAACTTAAGGACGGCAGCGATGCAGTCAAAGCTGTACGAGCATCTAGGCAGTTAATATTTAGGGATTTTGATTTAAAGGCTTTTAATAGGCGCACGAACGGCTGGGCGTAAGGGCGAACAGTTTGTCGTGGAGTAACGGGTAGATACCAGTATTTTTAAACATCAGTTTTTTTTTTTGTTATTCTAACTGTACGGCAAAGTCTAACTTAATACGCTTAACGGTTCCTACATTTGCTGCAAGCAAAACTGAAAGCGCTTATAAAGTGTATTTAGTTGTAATAATTTGCAAAAGAAAAACAGTTATTGTTTACAAAAGTGATTTTAATTCTTTTTGTTATTGTTTACTTAATTTTAATACAAAAAGGGCACTTTTGAAGTGCTATTGTGAATTTTTATTTATTTTTGTTTCCGAAATCAATTTTCATATCAAATTTGACGTTTTGATTTTATGTTGCGCATTTCGTCGTCGTTGTTGTTTCCCTGTATTCAACTGCCATCCGAAAGACACTGTTCGCCCATGCGTGGAGGGTATATAACGTTTGTGTTGCATAAATTATTAGTTGTATTTATGCGAGTAATAGAGAGTTCTAACGGTGGTACGCACATTTGCAATGTACGTCCACACATACATACATACCTGCAGCCATGTTGGTCGCATTGCAGTACTACATAAATGAAAATTGTTAAACTAAACAACTGATCAATATAAACATTAAATATATACGAAACTACACAAGTGCAAATGCGAAATGTATTTAAAACACAATTAACAAAAATTATGAAAATTATAAAAACAACTAAACTGCATACATACATAGAAAAAATTAAAAAAAAAAAATGCGATATTAAAAAGTAAAAAAAGAGAGAACTACAATAAATATGTAAATGCTGTTATTAATATTTGTTAAACTGTTATTATATTATATTTACAAACATACATACATAGTAACGAAGTTTATTTTGCTCTTTTGTAAAAATAATTTCTATGAATTTACTGTGTTACTTTTGCAAAAATAAGGGAATATATATAAATATATACATATACTTGCAAACATACATACATACATACATATATGTGAGGAATTTTATGTGGTGGCATATAACGAAAACACGGTAGAAACTAAAACAATAAACTGTAAAACTACTACACTTGCAATTAAATTAATTATAATGCATACCTGTGCATACATACTTATATTTATATATACTATACATATATAAATTTAAATTAAATGTTTTAATGGATTGTAACCCCTTTTCTCCGCGTGTTTTTTTGGAGTTATGTAGGCATCGTGTAAACCAGCCGATTGTATTGTATATATCCAATCGATTGCCTCCTCCATATCCATAATTGAAAATTACATTACTTACTACTATCGAAAAAATTTATGAAAGAAAACTATGTATTAAAGAAATTAAATTAAATTTAATGAAATTGTATTGTGCTTACTTTTAAATGTCCCTGAATAAAAGTATTAATTAATTATACCGATAAAAAAACGAACATCGTGTCTTTACTTGACGACTGACGTGCAATAAACGACCAGTAAAGTCTAATTTGTAGGCAGAACAAACAAATGGAAAAATTATAACCAATTCCTTAGTGTTGTTAAATTTTGGATCTTCAAAAATCAGATCAATAATTTTACCATCACGAGGAACTAAACTTTAGTTGCAGTAAACTTAGTTCCGCTGATGCTCAATTATGCATATGTTTGTCCTTCAGTTCGTTACACACCTACCGACTCTTATTTCACAACCGATACGTTCTTCATGGAAATCGGGTCTAGGTAACCGTAACGGACTCGGGTTTTTATGCGGTCAAGGACTCGGCACCATTCCTTCAAATTACTTCAATTAATTTTTTTTATTTCCCTTCAAGGGGATCGGTTTCTCGTCTAGAACTAAACCCAGGGCTGTGCATGTAATATTGTTTAGAAATGCTGCTGAGTTGAAGGTGTCGTGGACATGGCTAATGCCTTCTAAGTCTGTTTGTTTAAGCTACAACAAAAAAATAGCGTTAGGGTCTTTACATAACTATTATTACCCAATGCGAAACACTGGGCACTCCTTTTTTTTAATTAGAAAATTTATTAATTGTGTTCAATTCCTTCCTTTTTTTTAGAATAACAACGAGTTCAATATGTCGGACGAATCGGAAACGTTGTCAAAGAAGTCGCGCAAAGCTTCGAGTCCCACAATCTCGGAGGACGAATACATCGAACCGCCTGAGTTCAGTTTGGCCACACTCGGATTGCGTCGTGTTGGCACGGCACCTCCACCGAAGCCGCAACCACAACAGCCCATACAAATGTTGAATGCCCGCGGTATGCCGGCACGCATACGTAAACGTAATCGGTTATTTTTCGATGACGACATTATTAACGATGACAAACCTCTCCGCATGAGTCTCTCACCACGAAAAATGCCCATAAAAGCAAACGCATCGCCACACAAAACACCCACTAAGGTTTTAAAAAAGCGCAAAGGTGTCGTCTCGCGCTATATGCGCTCGGATGAGAAGAAAAAGAGCGCTGAAATGACCACACCGACACGTGAACGACATTCAAGTGCCGCCGGTTCATCGGCAAATACCACACCAAAATCAAGCACGCGCCATAGTGGCATTTCGATTACACCAGCGACTAGTACCACTACATTGACACACATTATTCCGGCTGATAAAAAGATTGGTCAGAGTATCGGCTTGCGTTTGCGCAATTTATTGAAACTACCCAAAGCGCATCGTTGGGTCATATTCGAGTGGTTCTATTCGTTTCTCGATAAAGCACTGTTCGAGGGTGAGAATGATTTTCAAGTTTGTCTGTCTGAATCATTTCCAAATCTTTGCACACGCCATCTGACGCGCGCCGAATGGCGTAAAATACGCTCTTTAATGGGTAAGCCACGACGTTGTTCGCAAGCATTTTTCGACGAGGAGCGACGTGAACTGGAGCGTCGACGACAGAAGATACGTTATATGCAGAGTCGCAAATCGGGTGACGTTAAAGATTTGAATTTTATACGAGATCTGCCGGACAAGATCCCGTTACCACTGCCCATCGGCACTAAAGTGACGGCACGATTGCGCGTGCCACAGGACGGCATTTTTAGCGGCACCGTAGATGCCTACGATTCAATGACATCCACTTACCGGATCACATTCGACCGCAACGGTCTCGGCACACACTCAATACCAGATTTTGAAATCGTTTCGGAAAATTTCCACGAAATGCTTCCACTCCAAAGCATAACCAGGGATAACAGACCTAATCTGATGAGCGTCTTCAACGGCGTGAGCTCATCGCCCATGCGTAGCATGCGCAATGTACGCTCGGCTCTGAATATGAATTTGAATAAGAGTGATCCTGTCTTGGCGCAGGAGGTCATCGAGAGTCCATTCAAGGATCCGGTGCTCGGAAGAGACAACATCAATGGCTATCCGGCTAAACTGTTGGAGACTTTAGTGCGTTTGAAACGAGCTCTGGCCTCCAAGCGCTCTAAGTTGCAACGTCTCAGCGAAATGAATAACGAGGCAGAATTAAAGGCATCACAACAACTGGCTGCTGCACACAATAATTCCAACTCATCATCAGACGAATCGCAAAACACAAATGAGACGATGCCACAACTGAGCGAGGAGTTTCAAAGGCGCTATGCTTCGATCGTAATTTCAATGGAGAAGATGAATCGCGACATGCAGGATTATCTGAATGATGTGCAGGCATTCGCTGGTGACCTAACGCGCGATCCGCAAGTACAAGCAATGCTGGCACCATCATACCTGCGGGAAAAATGCCGCGAAGCCGCAGAGGATGCTGTGCAGCGCAACAATCAGGGTACAGTGCAGAACAAAGGTGTGCTGGCACTCATAAAGAATCTAGCAACCGTGTTACTAGTCGCCTCACATTTGGGCAATGATGGCAATTCAGCTGAAGTTTCAAAAGTGCTCGAGGGCTGCATCGAAGAAGTGCGCTCCAGCTTGAGTGGAGTGAATGTTGAAACGTTTCAGAAAAATGTGCAAATACATTTGCATCATGTGCGCATGCTCGCCGCCAACAATAATGTAATGATGAGCAATTCAGCCATATCGACTGCCGGTGGTGGTCCCATTGACAGATAAATGCTTTGGAGCTCTAGCAATCGATAATGAATAATAATGTATAACATGACTTAATAAAATAATATTAATGAATTAATTTAATTTAACGGTAATATTCTAACAATTACTATTGTGTAAATTAGACAATCTTTACTTTTTTTTCTAAAAATCAATTTTTGTTTTCTGTTTTGTATGCTCTTCTTGTCTATTGAATTCTTTGTATTTATACTAAAAATAAACTTAATTAGATTTCTTAGCAGTTCAGATGTGTTTTAATCACTTTCGTAGTCATCATCGTCCTCCTCTTCACTGGATTGGTTGAGCCATTCGATGAGTTCCTTCAAGCTCTGACGCAAAGTACGGTGTTCGTCCACATCGAGTTGTGCATACCAAGAGATAATAGCATCTTCACTCACAAAATCTTTGTCATATAAGTAATGTACCACTTTCGAGATTTTCTCGCGCACATATTCATTTTCTTCACAGATGTCCTGTTTGATAACATGAATAAATGTTTAAGAGTATATATAATTTTTAATGTTTACTAAAAGAACTTACTTCCAATGCATGCAGACCATCCAACATAGCATCTTCAGTCTTTATATAGTTCGACATAACAGGTCCCAATTGTTTCAATATGTTGTTAATGGCTAAAAGAACGTTTTGATTCACGGGCTCTTTAATATCCTCAAGACTGAATATAGCTTTCACCACATTGAAATTCACCTCTTTTAGAGACATGTTGTAGGCATAACGAGACGAGTTTATTTCTAAAATTAGGAAGTCTGGGTTTGATTTTTCCTGGAATCCGCGTGCCAGTGAGTCCATCACTTCCGCCAAAAAGACTGCAGCAAAGCAAATTGAATAGCAATGGCAAGAGCAAGAGGAAGTATTAGTTTGAGAAGAAATTTAAGAAAACGAAAACGTTTACTATTTGTGTCGTCGACAAGAGGTGTGACCGCTCGTGACTCATCCTCGTCGCTGCTCAATGTGTAGTCGCTTTCATCACAGATCGGTGGCAATTTAGCCACTTTCGGTATACCAGTGGCTGTGGTAGGTAGTAAATCATCTTCGGAATCGGAGGCATATGTCGATTGTGTATCCTGTTTATCGTCTATGATAAACGCTTGTTCACCAAGTTTTTCTAATAAATCGTCTATCAAAATAAAAACAAAAATAGCTTAAAAGAAAATTATTAAATAACATATATATATGTGTACTTACCGTCATCGCTTAACGCAGACTTTATTATGACGTTTTTGAGCACCTTTCCAGGGGGTATAACACTTTTAGCATCCAACACGGTACCTTCTGCAAGAACAGATCCAGCACCAACTTTAGCACCAAATCCTATTACACAACAATCCAATTTGCAGCCATCGGCAACGTCCACACCATCCATGAGAAAAGCATTAACGAGCACGCAATTCTTGCCAATTTTACAGTTCTTCCCAATAACGCTGCAACTCACAGAAGTACCGGCTTCCACATGACTACCGGCCTGTACTGCGACATTTTCTCTTAATGTCGCTTTTATGACCGTCGACTTTCGACTCTTATAAATGTTGTTTTTAAGGTAAACATATTGCTGAGCAAGGCAATTTATACCCATATCGGGTACCAGTGGGTACGCCCAACGATTCATTACGTCTTGGCTGACCATGCAGTATGTCAGCCAATTATTCACTTTGCGTGCATACTGCCCACGCGGCAGCAATGATACATAGATGCGACTGTCGAGAATTTCCTCGTTTATAAGTATGCCACGAACGAAATCGTCACGAGTTTCAAAGTCAAAATTATCACTGAACAAGGATAGCATTGATGGGGAGCCAATAGCAATTTGCGGATCTACCAGATTATGAAGTAGTGACACTTCTGAATTGTGAAGAAATACTTCCAAGGGCACCTCAAAATGTGATTCTTTACCATGCAAGCGCAAGCGCTGGTGATAATGAAGACGATTATTTTGTCGGTCGACTGCAATCATAACCTCATTGCCAGTGCGTCCGTTACAAGTTGCGGCCTCTTTCAAAATCAATGTCGCCGCTGCACCTTTGTCATATTTAACAGTGTTCCTGCAGTGATTATGGAAACTCTATTATATACATTTATATTTAAAGTGTTTCATATAGCTCACTTGTGTTGTTCGAATATTGGTCGCAAATCTGCATTGGTTACTGCATCTGCGCCGAGTAGTATGAAATTACCACGTATAAGTGCTTTAGAGTCCAAATCGCGCATTGCATCACCGAAACAACGGCAGCCTTCACCGCCAATCACATGTACTGTCATATTCACCGCCCACGAACTGAGTGATGCAATGCCTTCCCTGAAATTGAAACATTGAATAGAAGGGAGGATAACGTAAAATATATATACATTACTTAATATGCTCCCGAACGCTTTGCAAATACAAACTGGAATAGATGAACACTTCTTCTATGCCACTGCGATTAAGAGCATCCAAAGCGTAATCTAGAAGACACACATTGACTACAGGTAACAGCGCCTAAAAATAATAGGACACATTTGTTAACGACGTGGCTATCGGGTTTTCATCACAATTTCATTTACAGTTGAGTTTTTATCCGAAAATGGTCGTAACTGCTCCATATTATTGTCGGCAATAAGTACCGCTTGAATAACTTCTTTTTTCTCAAATTGATTCATTGCTAATTCTTGCTAGTTGTTATTAGATGAGTTAAAATGCTGAAAATGTTTTAATGCTAAACCGCACATGAATTAGGAATACGAATTAAACATCGATACACATAGTCGATGACAACGAAAAAATTGCTCTATAATACGTTTTTTTTGGAATTTATCGAAATATAAGACAGTGTTAAAAAAAATAGTGACTAATAAATTAATTTTATAATGCAAAATGACGGTGTTTAGAGTGACTGTAGAAATAATGAAGTAGTGATTTAATCCTTTCAATTAAAAATTTTGAAAAAAATAAATTATGTCAAAACAAAGCTTTTATACAGAATTAAAGATGTGTATGGTATGATGAGTCGAAGGTCATACGAAACAGTATGAGTGAAAAAACAAAAACAACATGAACAAAACCGACAACAAATCGACTGCAATAATTCCGAACTCTTAGTTTCATGGAGGCCCTATCCCCAGACGAGTGCGCGCTGTTTGACTAGCATGCGAAATAAGATGATATGTTGTTGTCGTTGTTGTTGTAGCGGAAGAATTCTGCCGAGTTGACAGTCCTTGGCCGGATAAAAATCCGGGTCCCTTCCAGTTACATAGACCCAACTGTCGTGGAAACGACGATATGCTCTCACGTAGGGGTAACCATAAGGCGACAACTGCTGCGGCCAGAAAAAGAAGCGAGACCTCACAACATCTTCCAGCATAGTATCGTTTGTCCCTCCAAGGATGGCAAGAAGACTGATAAACTCTCTCTGAACAGGAGAAGGGGCAGCAACCTAAAAGCACCTGCTGCAAAGAGAATCATTTCGAGCAAACACCGAGACCGTCATTCAATGGTGACTCCGACCGAAATCCGCTGTAGTGTCCAAGTGTTCGGGTCAGTCAGCTCATCACCCAAAGCATTAAATGCATTCTTCTTCTTCTGCCAACTATATTTTGCAGATCGAACGACGATGGTACTCGGAGATTATCGCATGTATTCGTATAAACTTTTATTTTGATTAACAGTAAAATTATTTTGTAATTGTTGCAACTTTTCTATTACCAAATTACTGTTCCATTTTTCGGCCAAAATTTAACCTTTTTTTACAAATCCGCTATTTTGCGAAAAATTTATGTAAAGCTAATAAAAAACGTGTACTTTATTAGTAAGTCTTATGTAGACAAAGATCCCGATTTTATTTTATTTTAAAAAGCATGAATTCCAAAACTCTCCGTTACCCGTAGAAACCCTTTTGAAAAGGATAATTGCAAAGATTGGATCAGTTGCAGTCACTTTGTATATAAATACATTCAAAAAAAATTCCACTGATTTTTCAATCCTCACAGAATAAATTGCGATTGACATGGCTAAAGCACACAAGCTACAGTGTACACTTATGTGTACGTGTTTTAAGCGATCGGTTTATCACTTTTTAAATATTGAATACATGAGCGCAAAAAATTAAGAAACGTTTTTAAACTTAATAGAGAAAAGTAATATAAAAGGGACTTCAACTCAACCAACAAGCGCCGAGAGCTCAACACACCGTTGCTGAAGAATGCAACGGTAATTTCTTATGCTGGCTCAAGAACAGAAAGAGAAAGGTTTAATCAGAAATAATCAGTAGTGGAAAATGCAGAATGAAGAGAAGAAGTAATGGTGAAGTGAGGCATACTATTTTTTCCGGCGGAGAGTATTGAAATAAATTTTACAAGTTTTCTGCGATACCATCCACGCCAAAGACTCGGTTGTAAGTAACTTTGTTGTTTGGCGACAAACAGCGAAGCCGGTCGTGTAGACAAATGTAATCCGAACTCAGTTTCAACAGCGCGCTCGGCGCCCATACTGAAGTTGGCGCTGGCCAAGCGCAAGTTGAGCTCTTTCGACTTTCTGACTCAGCATTCAGTTGACGGTTACATTTCAACGGATTCGCAGGTGGAAATTCAGTTGACGGAAAAGACTACAACACTTGTAGTGGAACATGAGAAACACAAAAACAACGTGCGAGCCGACTTTGATGGGTCTATTCTGTGGCAGCAAGCGTTCAAGTACCAAACATTAAACTCCAAACAAAGCCGCCGTGGTGGATTTTAGCGTTAACGAAGCGTATCGGAAGCGTATGTGTGCACATGTTTTAACAAATATTTGGACTATATTGCGGAAATAATTAAAATAACAAAAGTGGTAGCAGAAATAATCAACAAAAAAATTAGTAAAACTCTTTCATTACCAAATTGGGTTACGTGCAAAAAAACGCGCATAAAAAACAGATTTTAATTTGTGGTAAATACATGCAAACATACGGATATCGTGTAATTAATTAGAAGCGAAACATCATCGAATTACAAAGAATGTTTATGTGCTTAAAAATCTGTTGGTTAAGTTTGTGCAACCGAGTGAGTGATGGTGAGTTCAAGAGTAACGAATTGCAACAAACGCAGCAGAACTAATTGTAACGTCGAAAAACCAAAAGCGAATTGCAAATGCTAACTTACTCTGGCACAGCCAATAAAAGCTGAAACAAAGGGGTCAGCAGCGCGGCGCGCCTCATCGAAGAGTGCAATAAAAGACTGACTGCACATCGAAAACATGAAAGTGGACTGCAG